AGGTGAAGGGGCGGGGCGCGGAGCCTCGGGGCGAGAGGGGCAGAGGAGAGCCCGAGGGGAGGAGCTCGGCAGCAAATCGTGGGAGTCTTCTGTACCCAGTCAGTGTTGTCCCTGATGTCGACTAGCGTCTGGTGCGCGACGCGATCGCGCCGATGCGGCGTCAATTAGCACTTCCATCTGCTGCTCGCGCTGGAGGACCCTCTGCGCCGCTGGCTTACAAAAAGTGTGTGCGCGCACTGTCCTTCCACCGCCCTGGCGCTTCCCCGGCCCTTCTTGTAGCCTGTCTTCTGCCTCAGTCGGCCTGTCTGCCTCTGTGTTTTCCTTGTTCCACGCGCTGCTCACCACTTGCACACCGCCATTCACCCACTCTAATCCCTCACGCCATGTCCCTCGCGTCCCTGTGGTAGTGAACTGGTCGATCCCCTATGGGCGGACCCCTGGTCCCCCCCCCGCCGAGTGAGCTGTCTTGGCCGCGCGTTTGCTCCCGCGCGACGGTCTACGCTGCGCTGCCGTGCGCGTGGCCGCGATGCCAACAAGTATGTGTGTGTGTGTTTGTATTTATGTCGTTTTGTCCCCGTCCGACCCCCCTGTCATCCGTGCCTGAATGACTATAGCCGGCGGTTGGTGCTTGACCTCTTGCGGTCCTTGAGGGCGCGGCCGCTTTTGACGCGCGCGCGCGGCTGCTGTTCTTAGATTTTCTCCGCCCTGTCGCTGCGCGCGGGGCCGCGACGCCCAACGTGTGTGTGTGTGTGTGTTTGTGTGTGTGTTTGTGTATGTGTTTCTCTGTGTCTGCGCGCGCTTCTGTTTGGATTCCCCGCACGCATGCAGGTACCAGGCGTGCCGTTGCGTGCCGCCATGCTTGGGAGAGGGGCCCCCTCGTCTTGCGAAGACTACCGTGAACTGCAAAGAAGCAGAACGTTCTGATTAAAGATGGCAGTTTAGGAGGAGTCCTGCTCAAACGTTGTTTTAATCCATCTCTCGATCCTAACCCCTCACCCTCGCCTATTTGAATACGATCCCTCCCCCCCCTCCCTACTTGTATTCAGGTTTTCACGCAGGCAAAGCCATGGCTCGGTGAGCTGTCATATGTTGATGACCCCCCGATCAGGACGAGACCAAGGAAACGCTGAAGGAGGACTGCGGGAGTGCGGCGATGGCTTGAGGAGTCGGTTGAACAGGGCGCTGGGGGGCATATGAGGGCTGCCAGAGGCCTCCCCTGACCCCCGCGGACGACGAATCACACGCGTCCCACGTGAACCGCCTTCAGCGGGAGGGAACTGGGGAGACGCTGCCGTAAGCAGACATGGCTAACCTAAGGGCCAGTGGTCTTGCGGTGGTGCTCTCAGGCGCGGATCAATTTGTTGCCAGTCTGCCGCCACCTCGCAGGGCTCTCTTCGATTCCTCCGATTCGATTCGATTCGATTTCGATGGATTCCGATTCCGACTCGATTCGACTTGGGATTCCGATCTGGGCTCCGATTCCTTATTGGAGACATACTAGCCTGCCGATTTCCGCCGATCCGACTTTTCCCGATTCGGCTGCCGATTTCCGCCGATCCGATTCATGTCGATTGCCGATCCGATTTATCGATTCGATTCTGGACTCTCCTGCAGTGGTCTTGCGGTGGTGCTCTCAGGCGCGGATCAATTTGTTGCCAGTCTGCCGCCACCTCGGGACAGTTGCCGGGGAGGAGGGAGGAGGGAGGAGGGGAGGAGGGAGGGAGGAGGAGAGGAGGAGGAGGAGGAGGAGGAGGAGGAGGAGGAGGGAGGAGAGGAGGAGGAGGAGGGGGAGGGGAGGAGGAGGAGGAGGGGGAGGGGGAGGAGGAGGAGGAGGAGGAGGGGGGGGCAGTCGGCGCGAGGCGATTCGACGAGTGCCCGTGCCCTTCTTTCACGAGCCCTGCTCCTCCCGACTACGGCGGCGACCCCGCCCACGGGCGTTCAAGGTCGCACGCCGCCAATGGCCAGGAGGGAAAGAAACACACAGACACAATTAATCGTCGATTCCCCAGAAAATATGAGAAAATATGGGAAGTGGGGGGGAAGACAGAAACCCAGAAAATATAGGAAAATATGGGGAATCTTTTTATTTGTGTGTATTTATTTGTGTGTCCCAGTTTCCCTTCAAATGGCCCAGAATCGGCCCAGATGGAACGATCGGGCGATCGGAAAGCCGCCGATCGCTCAAGGTGGCACGATCCACGCGGTGTCAGAAACCAGTGCCGGGGTCGTCACGACACGAACCTGCCGTGCCAACCAGACGACAGGCGGTTGATGAGAAGCACGGACGCGTTCCTGCCGTCGATCGCTCAGGTGATCGTTTTTTGATTCACTGTTTTGCCGATCGGCGCGGGCCCCCCAACCCCCCCCCCCTCCCCCGCCCCTCCCATGGAGTAGATCCCGGCTGTTTTGGGCTGCCTGTTTCGCGCAGGTGGAGTCTCCCCTCATGGGACCCAGTTTGCAGTCCGACATTGGAGATGTTGCTTTTCAAGCTCGCATTGTCGCATGTGTTTCCGTAGCGCTATCCGGACGCCCAGTGTTCTGACTTCGTCATGGGACCCAGTGCTGCAAACCGCCGCACGGAGCAGAGGTCCGGAGCCCGACCCCCCGCCCCTCCCCCCCCCCTTCCGCCCAACGTCGGAGCGCCCCGTCGAAGAAGCGCCCACCAGGAGCGCGCAGACCGGGGTCCGCAGAAGAGGAGCCCCCCCCCCCCACTCAGGAGGGAAAGAAACACACAGACACAATTAATCGTCGACTCCCAGGAAAATATGCAAAAATATGGGAAGTGGTGGGGAAGACAAAAACCCAGAAAATATGGGAAAATATGGGGGATATTTTTATTTGTGTGTATTTATTTGTGTGTTCCAGTTCCCCTTCACCCACGGGCCCAGCCGTGCCGCGGCAGGACCTCGGGCCCCGCCGCGCCCCTGCAGGGCCCCGCCGTGCCAGCGGGTCGCGTCCTCCTGATCGTTGAGGGGAGCGAGGAATGCCATACACTCCAGGCGATGCTTAAGAAAACCCACGTTTTCGGCCAGAGTCTCGATTATTCTTAATGTTTCAATGAAAATCCTAAGATTTCAATAGAAATTTCGGTTTTTTATTCAAGTTCTGAGACTATGAATTTCTCAACCCATGATTTCTTAAGCATTTCGCAGGGTGTACACTCGACCAGGATAGGACTCGGGGGAGGACAGAACCCCCAACAGTGACACGTCGATTAGTGAATTGTCCGTGTTCGGTTCTCGAGAGGGCGCCGTGGCCGTTATTTCCCAGGGTTGCGTCTGCCAGGTTTGGGCCCAAGGGCGTTTTCACGAAACCACGTTTTACTGAAGGGAGGTCTGTCCATCCCCGAAGGACGGATGCGCGGTAAGGATGCAAGGGAATTGGAACGCCATGTCGACGTTTTCCGTGCGGAGCGCCGCAGAAGGCCCGAGGATGCCGAATACCGGAGGGGCAGGGATGCAAGGGCAGCTTTGGACGGTTGCCCCGTCCTTACTATCACGGTTGACTGTAAACATAACAACTCAGAGGTCCGCGCGGATTTCTCGGATCCGCGCTGGATCCCCCTGGCGGCGCCTCCGGCGGCGCCCCTGGCGCGCTCCGCGCGCCAGGGAGGGGGGTCCAGCGCCGATCTGAGAAGTCCGCGCGGACCTCCGAGCTTTTATGTTTGTGTCGTTCTTCGTTCCCCTCGAATTCTCTGATCCCCGCCGGTCCAACGGGATCCCACCACATCGCACCGTGCAGGTCCCCGCCCGCTGCATTGCCTTTATCGTGCAGGTGCATGTTGGTACGCGTCCGGCGCCGCATTCCGTGCCGGCAGCTCTTGAGATACCGCCGCTCGAGGCTGTACCACGTGGCACCTGTCGTCTCTACAGTAGGAGCTCGACCACACGAAACCTCCCACAGGAGACACGACCCTGAGACCCCAGGACGTCCATGGATTTTTGGTGTGGGAACGTCACGCGTTCCATCGCAGAACCATCGAAACCGGAGCAGCCCAGGGCACCCTGGAGGCAAGCAGGGTGTCTTTTGGCCTGGGCTTCCACTGCATTCTGTGAGGGCCGCCCGGGCCGTCTTGAGGATGTTTTGGGTTCCTGTATGACCAGCCTCGGTGCCGTCTTAGACCGTCTTGGTGCTTGCCGTCTTGGCGCCCCTCTCGGCCGTCTGGGGGTATTCACTTGGGGCCGTCTTTGGTACCTTGGGGGGCCTTCTTGCGCTGTCATGGGCCCCTCTTGGGCCGTCTCGGTGCTCTCTTGGGGCTGTGGGCTTTTTGTGGAATCTCTTCGGATCCACCTGTGCCCTAAGCCGAGAGGTCGGGGTGATCCAAAATGTTCAAATGCTCAGGGGATTCTTCAGGTGTTCGAAAGCCTCCCTGGATGGCCTCTTGGCCTGCTCTTCAGTGTAGTGGGTGCCTCTTGAGGGCGGAGCAGGGATGTGCGACCGATTCGAAGTCACGGAGGGCGCCATTCATCGGCACCATCTGACAAGCTGGTAGCAGCACATATTTCTGACCATGGGGGAACGGCGAGTAAGATATTTGTGTTGCAGGGGTGGTTTGGGGGGATGGCCAGTTGATGCACATATTGTGAGGTTGACGATGCGCGCGTCTTGTGGTCGTGGCGCGTATGGGGCACGCAGTTCCCGTAGTGCCAACACCTGGCGAAGTCTGAGCGGGCTGACCGTCATAGCAGCGCGAATGAAGATGGTGGGCAGGAAGGCACGAAGTTACGCGGTAATGGCAAATGGGCGCTAGGTCACGCAGTAACGACAGGATGGGTCGGCATGATCATGTGGCCAACTTGGGGAATTGTAGAATGCCTTCGAACTGGGTCGTTTTCTGAAGATAGCGGCACTTAGCGGCACTTGGCGGCGCGAACGTTGGCGGCCCCGATGGGGCCAGCGGCCCCATTCGCGCGCCCGTGGTTTCACGGAGGTCGGCGTCCTTGAGCTTTGATTTACACGCCCGTGGCCCAGATGGGACTACGCTGCCATTACGTGCCACTAATGGGTAATTCTCGGAACCACTAACGGCCACTAAGTACCGCCGCTGAATGGCATTTTAGTTCTCGGAGCCACTAACGGCCACTAAGTGCCGCTAAATGATAATTCTCGGAGCCACTAGCGGCCGCTAAGTGCCACTAATTGATACGGTCATGTTCGGGGCCGCTAGAGGTTTCGAGTGCCGCTCGGTGCCGCCGAACGGCCGCTGCAGGCAGCTAGCGGCCACTAAAGGCCACTAAATGGTAATTCTCGGGGGCCGCGATGGTCAGTCCGAAGTTCCCAAGAGAACCCGCATGAGCATGAGGTGGTCGTGTGGTGCCTATGCCGTGACCCCGAAGTCACCATGAGAGCCCGATTGTTCCAGCCAGTGTTATGAGGGACAGTGTTGTGTTGGCATTTCGCTCGCAAGCCTTTCATCCAAAAAGGCATCCATGCAAGATGCTCGGCATCATGTTGATGGCGGCTTCAAAGCTTGGCCGTCACTTTGCGTAGAGTGTTATCGATGTCTCCAGCATGCAGCAGCATGCCGTTTCATGCTACTTCAGAAGGCCATGTCATGTAAACCACATCGAAACCGCTTCATCAACCGCTCAAGCGTGCAGCTGCCCAAGGGGACATCGGCTGCAGGACACCAGCTACCTCGCGGAGCTGAAGAAGGGGTGCAGCACGAAGGAGGCCGAGTGGCAGGAGCGTTGCAAGGTCCGCCCTGGCGCTTTTTGGCTGAATGTATCCTGCGTGCCAGATACCAGAGTTCGTCGTTTCATTGCGGAAGTTTCTTTACTCGCTTCGAACATCGTTCTGGCCAGAACGAACGTGTCCAGTTGATGAAACGTAGTTGGATTGGCCAGAACCATGCTGCAGGCGACGCGTTGATTCCTAAGCGGTGCGTGCATTGATCAGAATTTCTGATTTCGAAGCTAAGTTGCGTACAGTGGAAGCCCATGCCAAGAAACACCCCGCTTGCCTCCAGGGTGCCCTAGGTTTCTCGGGCTTCGATGGTTTGCTGTGGAGCACGTGACGTTCCCACACCACAAATCAATGGACGTCCTGGGGTCTCAGTGTTTGTGTTTCCTGTGGAAGGTTTCTTGTGGTCCAGACCCTACTTCGGGGAACGACTGACATGAACACAACAACTCGGAGGTCCGCGCGGATGATCGGATCCCTCCCTGCCGCGCGGAGCGCGCCAGGGGCGCCGCCAGAGGCGCCGCCGGGGGGGTCCAGCGCGGATCCGAGAAATCCGCGCGGACCTCCGAGTTCCTACTTTCATGTGCTTCTTCCTTCTCCTGCCACTGCAGGTGGCATGGTCGGTGCTTCGCCCGGCCGCCGCGTGGCCTCCCCACCACCTGGCTGGCCCGTCCAGACATTTGCGCTCGGTGGCCGCCTCGTGCCAGGAGGGAAAGCAACACAGACACAATGAATCGTCGATTCCCAGGGGAGTGGTGGGGAATACAAACACCTAGAGAGTATAGGAAAAATGGGGAAGTGGTGGGGAATGCAAAAACTAGAGAATATGGGAAAATCTGGGGAATCCTGTCATTTGTGTTTATTCATTTGTGTGTCCCAGGGCCCCTTGATCGTGGCTGCCCCCCCGTGCGCTGGCTGGCATGTCCTGGAGGCCGGCATGGGCGGAACGGGTGCAGTCAGGGGCTGGATGCTCGTTTCGGGGGCCTTCCCGGGGCCCACCTCGCGGATCTGATTTGACTCGAGTTCGGGCTCAGGTTGGGCTCAAATTCGACCCAGGTTCGACTCGGATTCGATTCGGGTTCGACTCAGGATCGACTCAGGGTCAACCCTCATCGACGGACGCTTGACACAGCTTCGACGCACGAGCGGAGCGAGCGTCTCCAGGAGGGTCCCCAGAATGCGCATCCGACAGAGGCAGTCGGAGCAGTTGCGATTCGTACAGTAAATCGTCAAATGCTGGTCGTCGTAGGTGTTTCTTGAGGCGGCCTTGCAGCACGTCTGGATGTATTGGGACCTGCCCGTGAAGACAGTCGGGGGATTGCACGATCATCACCGCTTGTAGACGTGCGTTGAAACTTCGGACCGCTGATAACTGACAGCGCCCTCTGGAGTCATTTCTGAGTGTCGAATGCCCATGTCAGACTCGTCTTGTGATCGTCTTGGCCTGTCGGGGTGACATCTCGGAGCCTCTCGGTCCGTGCTGGGTCATGCTTGGGAGCATTGGCCCAGAAACCCCGCAGACCGAGTAGGGGACTGCTCCAGACTCGAAGCATCCAGACTAAGAAACCCGCAGCAGGGGTAGGTGCCGATTCGTCCATGTAACTTTTTTTTGCGCCCCGGCACGAGCACCGCTGTGGGCTCCCTTGCTGGGCCCCAGCCCCCCCATTCTCCCCCAATTGCTAGACCAGCATCGATTGCGCCACGCTCAGAATTGCCACTCATCTGGCATGTGCCTCCTTCGGAGCCCTGGCAAGAAGCAAGCAAGAAAGCAAGTGGGCGAGCCAGCATCTGGCGCCGGCAGCCCAAGTCATCACGCATCTCCGTCCTCCTTGGGCAGCTCAACGTGAAGCTCCTGTATGCACGCCCACACATCGCGCTTAGAGCCTTTCATGCTTACCACATCATGCATTTCCTTCCCTACCGGGGGGCCTACGTTGGTAGCGTGGAATTCAGTCGGGCATGTCCCTCTACAGGAGGAGGATTCAAAAATATTCAAAAATCGTATGGCGACGATTTGTTTTGGTATTTTTGTGCATTTTTTGAATGTTCAATGAGTATTTGCAGCGTTTCGTCAAAATCCGCCTGTAAAGGGACACGCCCGACCGAAGCGTAGAAGTTTGTACTCTGGTAGCGTGGGCCAATGCGGTCCACGTGGCGTGGACGCCCACGTATCTCGCCGGAAGCCAGGATGCTCCCCCCCTCATGATCACACCAGTATTGAGTCGGGCATGTCCTTCTACAGGAGGAATGTTCAAAAATACTCCAAAAATAGTCTTGGGACGATTTTCAGTATTTTGGGTTCGCTTGAGCTTTTTATATTTTTTAAATTGTTCCTTCCGAGTCCGCCTCTAGGGGGACACCCCCGACCTAACACCAGTATGTCCCACCACTTCCGCGCAAACCCATACACATGCACGCATGGACCATATCATGCAGGTAAATATGGACACATCCACGTGCACACATTCAAGTCACCTCTACTCTGTACGCCACTTCGTGCGTAAATAGATATTGCTGGACAACTTGTTATGTTTTAGATTGACACTAACAGACACGGGGAACTTGCGACACAGCCGATGCGCAAACATATGTTTAGACACGGTCCAACATATATGTTCCTAGATCCTATCACTACAGGGCCACAGCGGGAGCACGATAGTTTCCAGAAGCGCATATTTCAAACACATCGATAATAATAGATATTGAATGCGCGGCGCCTCCATGGGAAGCTCCGACTTCCTAATAGTGTCGTGTCTATTCTTGGTTTCGGCTGTGCACCAGGAATCCGGAAAATGCACCCCGACACGGGCAACCAGAAGCCAGATATTTAGATTGGAGGTCCAATTCGGAAATTGGATCTGGAATTAGGACACCAGAATCAGGAGATTTGCGGGTGGTCCAATGCGGAAGTTGAGCCCAGAGGCGAGAATCCGGAGATATGAATGGGAGGTTCAATAACATCCAGAACCTGAATCCGCAACCCAGAGTCCGGATATTTGAGCTCCGATTTTGGAATTCCGATGTCTGGATTGGATCTCCTTCACCTGGTTCCGCCGAGGATCGCCATTCGAGCGAGGGGCACACGAAGACCGCACACAGCAAAGCACGCAAGACGTTGCCGCTCGGGTCGTCCCAGGTCCCCTGCGAAGGCCCAGCTGGCCTCGACCGGCCCCCCGAGGGGTCTCCCAGCTGGCCTCCACGGGCCCCCTCCGGTAGTTCTGGGCGGTCTCGGCACCCGAGGCGCCGCCTCCGGCGGCGCATGCTGCCAAGGAATTCCCCGATGTCTACAAGATGTTTCAAACATGTTTTAAATATGTATGTAAAAGACATGCTTGAAACATGTTTAGGGCATGTTTTACACATTTTAAACACACCTTTGATTCAATGACAGGATTGTTAGAGTGTCCATGTCATGGCATCCACAACGCTAGGTGTGCTGACACCGCCCTGACCCACTCGGGGGGGCCTGTCGATGCCAGCTGGGACGGCTCGGGGAGCCTGTGGAGGCCAGCTTTGAGTCGGGCCTGTCCCTCCTCTACAGGAGGGATGTTCAAAAATGGTCAAAACATAGTCGGGGGACGATTTTTGACAATGTCTGCCCATCTGGGGGGTCTGTTTTGATTTTTTAATTCTTCCTGTAGGGGGCCAGCCCCGACCTAAGGCCAGCCGGGACTACCTGGTGGGGCTGTCAGCGCGCAGTCCGAAGCCTTACCAGGTCGACCGCTCGGTGCCTTGCTTTGGTGTTTGGTCATGGGCCCCTCGTGAACAGCAGCCGTCCAGCTCAGTGGCCCCCCCTTCGTCGGTGGCAACGCATTGGATCCTTGCATGTCGTCGGAATTCCGTTTCTGGACTGCCTTAGTTCGCTCTAGCGATTGGTAATCGATGCGACAGCGCCGAGCGTTGATTTAGCGTCGATCAGTGTTGGTTAGCGTCGATTCGCAAGAGGCAGCAAGATGGCACTGGAGGCTCCCATGAGTTGCCACATAACCATCCTATCTCAGGGTCAGAAATGTGTCCACTACTATGCTATGCTTGTCCACCGCTCACCAGCAAATGGCGGCCCAACGCACAGCGTACATGTTGTCATTATTTGCCGCCTGCAGAACCAGCCAGAAGATTATGACCTGTACGTTGTCCTCTGGCGTTCCCGTGAAGCTCCACGGGACAGGGCCCAGATATCTTGGTGTATATACGCGCGGTTCCCACCGTCACTCTCTTCTCGGCGGTCCGTCCGCCCGCATTAGCAGAGAAGGTGCGCCAGGAGGAGCTTGTCGCGATCTCGGAGACCATCAAGATTCTCAACGACGACGACGCGCTGGCACCGCGGGGGGATCGAGAAGGGCATTGGCTGACGACTGGGGGAATATACAACCAAGACGCCGAACGTTAGACCACTTCTGGCTCCGGAGGGGCTTTGGTTTCCGGGACGCTCCGTAGATCTACATCGGCGACCCAGTTCGTGGCCGAGGCTCGCTGTGTACGGAACCTTTCGTTCTTTGTTGGGCGTCCTTTTCGGCAGCACGATGATTGTGCGTCACCAGCTGCTTCGCCGATCGTACGGAAAATCTCAGAGTGCCGCAAGCGTTTACGGTTGCAGGGTTTTCTTTATCTCTGCTCAGTGCTAGGTGCTAGAATTCCCGTGGGTGTTGGCCATCTGACTCGCCATGCCAGTGGCGGAATGAAGTGAAACGACGCCCAGGTGAGCTGCCCTGATCATGAATGGCGAGAAGTATTCAGTGAAATAACAGGCTGCGGAAGCCGTCGTACCTCAACACGGGGGAAGAGGGAGGAGGAGGAGGAGGAGGAGGAACAGGCGGATCAGGAATGAGGAAGATGAGGAGGAGGGCGAGCAGAAAGGCCAGATGTCTCTTGGATGCCACAGGGAGTCTTTTCGGATGTCTCTTGAGAGCCTCTTGGGGTCCTCTTGGGGCGTCTTGAGGTCATTTTGGCGGTCCCAGCGTCTTGGGTGTCTCTATGGAGCCTCGTGGAGACCTCTTGGAGGTCTCTTGGGAGCCTCTTAGGGGACCTCTTGGGGGTCTCCTCAGCGCCTTTTTGGGCCCTCGTCGGGCACTCTCAGGAGCCTTGGGGGCCATTTTGGGGCCATCTTGGAGGAGTTCGATCACATGAGGGAGGGTCCCCAAACAGCCCCTCCCCTCTACAGTCCCTGACATCGTTCCATGGGCCCACTTTGAGGCACTCTTGGAGCTCTCTTGGGCGCTCTTGGAGCCATATTGAGGATCTCTTGGGTATCTCTTGTGACTCGCTTGGGCCATCCTCGGAGACGCCTTGAGGCCTCGGATGGCCATCGGGAGGGTACGGGTAATAAGAACGCATACGTCATTGATGCCCCCTGGGTTTTGAAGTGATGTTGGCCCCTTGGGGGGGAGCGGGGGCGGGGGCTCCGTGGCCTCTTGGAACCGTCATGGGGCGGTCTTGGGGCACCTTGGAGCATGTTGGCAGCACCATTCGGCCATCTTGGAGCCCGTTTCTTGAATGCTTGGGGCATGACAGGCGTCATGGCCCCCGCTTCCCCCCCCCCCTCTTCGACGTAACGCTCCCCCTCCCAGTGCGCTCCGGGCACTGCCGCCGTGCGCATTGGGATCCGCGTAGATGTCCGCGTAAGAATCTGCATAGGAGTCTGGTCCGCAGTCGTCGTCGTCGTCGTCGTCGTCGTCGTCGTCGTCGTCGTCGTCGTCGTCGTCAACGTCGTGCTCGTCGCTCGTCGCTCGTCGCTCGTCGCTCATCGTCGTCGTGCGCGCGGACGCGGCTAGAGCCTGTTTTTTTTATTCTGGGTCGATGACGGCAATCATCTGGGGGGGTGGAGGGGGTCGATGACGTCACGTTTCGCGCCCGTTTCGTCTGGGAGTGCTTCGGGATGACGCAGGACGGGTAGCACCAGCATGTAGGTGCGATCTGCACCACAGCGCCTGCGTACACCGCAGTGCCTGCGTGCACCACAGTGCCTGTGTACACCACATCGCCTATGCACACCACAGCAGCCGCGTGCAACACATCGTTCGTTTGTGCCACCGTGCCTGCGGGCACAACAGCGCTTGTGTACACCACAGCGCCTGCGTACACGACATCAGCCGTGTGCAACACAGCACCAGTATAGATCACAATGCCTGCGTGCATTGCAGTGCCTGTGTGCACCACGGCGCTTGTGTGCACCACAGCTACCGTGCGCAACACAGTACCACTATTGTATATATAATGTTAGATTGGATCCTTATGACAAAATGGAGCGCTTGTGGAGTCCAAGAAAACAGTATAAAAAGGAATATCTATGGACAAAGGAGCGCCGCTGGAATCTACGAGTCCTCCCGAGTCCGCCCGCATCACCCTAGATTCTCCCATTTGCGTCCAGGAGCCTCCAGCTAAATTGGCCGTCCGCACTGCTGGCCTTCCTCGGCTCTCGGGGGGCCTGCCGGTCCCTCGCTGCGTTCCTCCTGCGCGGGGCCGCTGCCGCGCGCCTCTGCGACGCCGACGTGCTCCTGCGGCGCTATCACCAGCGGACCAGTGACGCGTTGGCGGGGCTCGCTGCGTAGTTGCCGTCAGATAGCGCCGGCGAGGCGCGGGAGACTTTCCTCGATTGCCTCCGGCCTCCAAGCGCGCAGGCACCCGGGGACAAGCTCGCGCGCGGCGCGGGCGACGGCCCAGAGCCCGAGCCTGGCGCCGACGCGCAGTGGCTACGCGGCGCGCTCGGCGCGGGGGTCGCGGACGACGTCGAGGCTGAGGATGCAAAGCGCCCCCTTGGCAGGGCCGCCGCTTGGGGCCCGCGGGCCGTGGGCGGCTGGCGGCCACTGCCAACACGCGCGCCGCCGAGGGCCTGGTCCGGCATTTCGCAGGAGCGGGTGCACACGTGGATCGCGCCCGGCCGGGCGACCTGCGCGGCCCGGGCACCGACCACAGCTAGGCGTGGTCCTGGCAGGCTCTGGATGCAGACCGCGGCGAGTTCACCGAGGCGATGCGCATCCGTCTGGGCGCCGGCGGGCTCCCTCAGCCCGTTCTGTGAGGCGCTTGTGGGGACCTCCTCCTCCTCCTCCTCCTCCTCCTCCTCCTCCTCCTCCTCCTCCATCTCCTGGGTGCCGCGGGAGAGCCCGCGCCTCGACCTGCTGCACTGGGGAGGCGACGGCTGGCCACAGCCCGGTCAGTGAGGGGCTGCAGCGTTTCGCAGTGATGGGCGGTCCTCGTGGCGAGGTGGAGCCGAAAGACCTCGTGCGTTCACGTCCACTGGGCCGACCTGCAGGCGTGCTTTCGGCGGCCGTTGGCCGCCGGTCGGCCTCGGGTTTGGACGCGGGAGTTACGAGTTCTAGCATCGCGCCCGCGCCATGCGAGGATGCCGCCGAGGCGATAGGGCAGCGCATGACCCAGAAACGGGAGGGCGAGGACGGCGAGGTCGAGGAGTTCGGCGTCGTCTGCACCCCAGTGGTGTGGACGAGCCATGGGCGCCCACACCCACAAGCGGCCGCTGCCGCGCAGGCGATTGCCCGAGCTGCCGCGCGGCGCCGCGGAGGCACCACCCGCGCCATGGAACGAGCGTTGCGGGAGCGGATCGGCGCGGCGCTGGCCCTGCGGGGCGCGCGCATGAGCCGGGCCACCATGGCCTGGCACGACGAGGGCGCCACCGAACCGGAAGCGGGCGTCTGGCGGGAGTTCGCAACACTCGTTGCCATGGCCGACGCGTGTGCTCGGGCGCCCGCGGCGCCACGAAGGCCTGGCGGCTGAACGAGCGCCGCGAGCAGGGGCCTTGTTCTCCCTCCTCCCTTCCCCCATCCCCTTCTCGCCCTCCTCCCTCCACCCTCTTCTTTTTCGCCCTCCTCCCTCCTCCTTTTTTCTCGTCCCCTCTCGTCCTCCCCCCTCCCCCCATCCCGTTTTTTCTCGTCCTCCTCCCTCCACGCACCCCCCTCCTAGGATCCGCCGGGCGCCCGGCGACCTTCTGGCTGGGTGGCCAGGGCCCCGTCCAAGACTGTAAGAGAGGGGGCCGCGGGCGAGAGTGCGCGCTCCCGCCGCGACGTCGCAGCACCGTTTCTCGGAGCAGTGTGCCGTTTTTTTATGTGTTTGTCCCCCGCCCCCCCCCTTCCCTGCGCGGGACACAAAAATGCTGCCATCGACAGCAGGCGGCACTAACCTTGCACATGCATATATATATATATATATATATATATATATATATATGTGCGACCTTTTTGGCGAAGGGATCATTTCTCTGCGGCGCCCGCCGCACGACAACGACGACGACGATGATGGCGACGACGAGGTGAAGGAAGAGATTGTGAGCAGCGCCTTCGTCGAGTCGTGTGTCGATCTGTGCTGTAATCCTCCCACGGGCGTGCTCAACATTACTCTGTCGCGCGAGATCTCGCAGGGAGCATTCTTCCTTGGGAAAAAAAAACAGCTCCAACATTTCCATGCCCGCCCAAAAACACGGACAACAATGTCCGCCGCGACGACGACGACTTCGACTACGGCTACTGCTACGATTTCGATTACAACCGCGGCTACCACTACGATTACATTCGCAACGACATTCACGATCGCAATTACGATCTCAATCGCGATTACAATCGTTTCAGCAAGCACAACCATGTATTATTGTTGTCGTCCTCGTGAACATGCTAATACATCCTGACGCGTGCAGGGTCGGCCATATGGGGTATTCCATGGGAGGGAGAAGCCTTCAACATGATCCAGCCCGCCCAAGAATAAGGGGAAATGATTTTCGCCGCGACGGCTACGACGACGACCACGATTACGATTACACTCGTGATTCCGGTGACGACTACAATCACGATGGCAATCACGATTGCAACCATGACTGCAAACACAGCTACAACCATAACCGTTGATTTTCCTTGTCATTCCCATGGTAAGAAGCTTGCAAATCTTCTCTCGTGTGGGGTAGGCAGTATTTGGTTATTCTCTGGGAGAAAGAACCCCCGAGCCATATCCAGTCCGCCGAAGAATAGAGGGACAACGATCTCCGACGCGACGACGACGACGACGACAAATGCGATAAGGACCACGTAGGAGGAGGAGGAAACTGGAGACTCTGCCTGATCGCGTAGCGATATGATTATAGCACCTGTCGCCACCCCTGAGCTTCTCCAGGCACGCGAGGAACGGGAAGCTCATGAGGTCGCCATGGTAGGTGGACACCACGCCCCAGAACTGGCAGATTGGACCGAGAAGCACGAGGAACAGGACGATACCTCGTATGAGTACCTCAGTTCAGATACAGAGAACTGCGTGCGTGCAGAAATTTCACTCCTTCCCTCCATACAGCCAGAACAAGGAACGTGTATTGTTGCGATCGAA